GACGTGGGAAACAAACTAAAAGCATCTGAGCGACTTGACTCACCCTCTGACTCCGAGTCGGCCCTCACCGACGCCGCAGATGGGGGCCTGGGTGGGCGGGGCTTCGGGGTGGGTGGAGACATCCGCTTCCTGCCGACAAACTCCACATACGTTCCCGGGAAGTCGCCTTTTTCCTGTCGTACACGAATCAAAGATCGCAGATGTGAGAATCATATAAAATCAGCAACGATCATTTTTTTGGAGGCTAGTTTGGGTCACACAGCAGAAAAGCTACGAGCGTTCCCGTTAATCCCACCATCATTCCCAACAGACTGGACCAAACGTGAAGGTCGGAAAACCTGAGCTCCTCGCTCTGACCCCACACCGAGGAGCCCCTCGGTGTGGGGTCAGAGCGAGGAGGATGTGGGATGCAGCTGTTTGTGGAGTTTCGTGATGACGGAGTCGTGCAGCTACGCCGCTCCTCCACTTTTACTTCAGCTTCGTTTTCTCTTTGCATCACCGAAAAGAAGTCGAGAGGAAACAAGTAAAATATCTCACTTTGACGAGTCAACACGGAGCATTTCCTCCATCACGTGTGCTAATATAGCGAGAGCTTCACTGACTGCAGGATTTATTCGAAGCGCTGCTGCAGGCGTTCTGACTGAACGAGCTGGACCCGGGTTCAGTCGGCACAGCAGCTTTTAAATGAACAAAGACACATTTCTGTGCCCAGACTGAGCTCTGCCTCACATCTGTGCGTTACAGGTTATTAGCCTATCACAGAGCTTCCACTGCTGTAACCTTTGATGTCACCACATCAGCTCGTTCACAGAGAGGCCAGCAGAGCCAAAAAGACTCCAAAACAAAGACTAAGAACTTTTATTACTTTCTTCTGCTGCTTCCTGTGACGGGACAGGTTCGTGCGGTCTGAAAGCACTTCCTGTCTCTGCTGCGGCATCGTACCTGTGTGGTTTCGTTGAAGCCCGGCAGCCAGCCGATCTCCGACGGCCGTTCTTCGGCTCCATTGGTGCAGCCGAGCGCCAGCAGCGCCCCCTTAGTGACCAGCAGCACGTCCCCGACGTGCAGGTCGATGTCCTCCTCCCTCTCCTTCTTGTAGTCGTAGAGCGCTCGGTACTGGAAACCCTCCGAGCTCATCCTGACTCGAGTATGGCTTCACGAAAACTAACAAAACAGCTCTGAGTGAAAAAATATGAACATAGGTTTGAGTCCGTGTCCTGAGGGGGTCTAAAGAGGAGAATCCACGTGGACGCGCGTCTCCCCTGTCTCCATGTTGGTCCGCCACAGTCCTGTCATCCCTCCAGGCCGAGCCGCAGCCGCTCGATCAGCGCGTCCTCGCGGTTCATGAACAGCAGTCTCAGCAGAGGTAGCGGCCACATCTGTGGAGGCGATGGGTCACCTGAGAGACGAGAGGTCAAAGGTTACAGATGAGTGTGAGGAACGCGATGCGGCAGAAGACGCTTTCATCATTTAATGAGCAAAAGCTCCAAAACAAAAATGCTTTTTCTACACAGTCTGTACCTAATAAACTGCTCCGAGCGTTTATTTACCCTTTAAAACCAGGAAGAACCAACTTCCTGTCAGTTTATTCGTTGGTTCTGCTGCAGTGCTGGGTTTCCCCCACCACAGCGAGCCGCTGTCATTCCCGCTGCCTCGGATCTCCTCAGAGTCCGTCGGAAAACATCAGCACACTTAAATACAAAGCTTCAGATCTTCATCATCTTCATGAAGATCATCGTGTCTTCATGATGCTCTCCATTAGTGCAGCCAGGAAATATTCTCACTGTGGGTTATTTTAATAACCAACCGTTTAAATGAGGGTGTCAAACATGCAGCCCGTGCATTGACATGAAGAAATATGACACACATGAAGTGACTTCCTGTTAGAGAAGATTTGTTTGTTGTTGAGTCCTTTAAATGACTTCATATGAAGGCCACATGAACACAGTGTTACAGACGTGAGCTCAGTGAGAGTCAAACTAATGCGCACACGCATGTCTGCAGTTTGAGTTTGTTACACAGGAACACGCTGACAGCAGCGCTGCCACGTGTGCGCAGAGAGCACCAGTGTGTGTGTCTGATAGTTCAATGAAAGGATTCAGTGAAGTTTGCAGTTTTGTTTTTTATACAATATTAGAAATGTAAAAAACTACATTTCCTGGAGTTTTTGTGGGAGTTTCCCTGTTTGGTTTGTATTGCTTGAACACTAAGGTGGGCTCACGTGACACCACAGTGCCAGCAGTGGCTCACAGCTCGTTTACGTTATGATCTACACGGTTGTTTTATTTAAATATATAATTTATGTTTTTATGATGTAAAATGTAAATAAGATAATATGCAAGTTATTCCAATCCTATTAATAAAAGAAAACGGTACAAAGACAATGAGACATTTAAGTTCTGTAACACGTTTCACTGAAGCTGTGAGCATCAGACGTGACTGCACGCCACGAGCCTCAGAAACCTCCGAGTGCCTCAGCGAGTCACGGCCGGCTGCAGTTTTGTGCTTAAACACAGACTCTCTCTGAAAAAGACACCAGAGCAGGTCGAGCGTCACCTGCCTCCTCACACCGGCACCGCCTGATGGAGCAGATGGTTCAGCTTTAATGAGGCCTCCACCCAACCCCCCCGTCAGGGACGCTGGCTTTGAACTGAGTGCTGATGACCTGCAGCATCCATGACCCAGACCTCAGACTTTGATTGGTCAGACTGGAGGACAGGTGCATCGGCTGTGGTCAGAGAAGGCGGCGCCATGCGTGAACACCATCATCAAGTCTAACACAGGCCATCAGCAGACCATCAAAATAAAAGCTTTCAGATAAAAGCTGCTGCTGACAGCTCCTGTTATAACTCAGACACTCCAGGTCTTCATCAGGCGCCACATCATCATCATCATCGTTATTATAAATTCTTTTGTTCGAGGATTTCACAACTTTTCTCATTTCTGCAGAATGTGGATGTATAACAATAAAAATGAGACAACATTGTTATTATACAAACAGAGCCTCATTTTCCACAGTGGTTCACCTTTATATTTATTTATGAATCACGTGACAAAAATTATCTGAGGATTAATATTATTATTGTTATTATTAAGCTGTAAATAACTGTAGCTTAAATCCAGCTACAGAAATGAAACATATGTTTAGTTTTTGATCATTTAAATGTAAAAATCGCCTCCAGTTAATCCACAAACTGCGTTCTGTTCACGTTTATAATGATCACAAGATTCAGAGCTGGAGAGCTCAAATTTTAATT